CCCAATCAACAAATGGGCCAAGGACCTGAACAGACACTTCTCAGAGGAGGACATACAGTCAATCAACAAGTACATGAAAAAATGCTCACCATCTCTAGCTGTCAGAGAAATGCAAATCAAAACCACCCTAAGATACCATCTCACTCCAGTAAGATTGGCAGCCATTATGAAGTCAAACAACAACAAGTGCTGGCGAGGATGTGGGGAAAAGGGTACACTTGTACATTGCTGGTGGGACTGCAAATTGGTGCGGCCAATTTGGAAAGCAGTATGGAGATTTCTTGGAAAGCTGGGAATGGAGCCACCATTTGACCCAGCTATTCCCCTTCTTGGTCTATTCCCTAAAGACCTAAAAAGAGCATGCTACAGGGACACTGCTACATCGATGTTCATAGCAGCACAGTTCACAATAGCAAGACTGTGGAACCAACCTAGATGCCCTTCAATAGACGAATGGATAAAAAAAAAATGTGGCATTTATACACAATGGAGTATTACTCTGCATTAAAAAATGACAAAATCATAGAATTTGCAGGGAAATGGATGGCATTAGAGCAGATTATGCTAAGTGAAGCTAGCCAATCCCTAAAAAACAAATGCGAAATGTCTTCTTTGATATAAGGAGAGTAACTAAGATCAGAGTAGGGACGAAGAGCAGGAGAAGAAGATTAACATTTAACAGGGATGAGAGGTGGGAGGGAAAGGGAGAGAGAAGGGAAATTGCATGGTAATGGAAGGAGACCCTCAGGGATATACAGTGGAGGGGGTAGAGAGAGAGGAGGGGAGGGGAGGGGAGAGGTGGGGAGGGGGGAGGGTGGAGGATGGGAAAGGCAGCGGAGCACAACAGACACTTGTATGGCAATTTGTAAATCAATGGATGTGTAACTGATGTGATTCTGCAATCTGTGTATGGGGTGAAGGTGGGAGTTCATAACCCACTTGAATCAAAGTGTGGAATATGATATGTCAAGAAATTTGTAATGTTTTGAACACCCCACAATAAAAAATTAAAAATAAAAAATAAAAAAAAAATAAAATAAAAGGGTCATTCTGCTTGGTTCCCCTCTCCAATATAAGAAACCCTAGAAAAGTTCAAGTGTACGTAGTCTCTCTAGAGTGATATCCCTGACTTTTGAAAACATGCTAATATCTGAATATTTGAATGATCTTTGTAAATATGATATCTGTGTGGGAAAGTTGCTTTTCCATCTCGCCATCAACAAACTGATGTAAACTTGCCAACATTGATGATTTTGCCTTCCTTTCCCTCTAAATACTTGTATTTTGAATGTGTTGGGCTTCTGGCTTCTTTAGAAAGAAGTCAGACACATTGTACTGATGGCAGATATAATTTTTCTCCTTTTTTTCTTTCTTTTTTTTAATTTTGAGAGAGTCCCATTTTATTTGTGTTTAAATTGATAAAAGTGTGTATATTTCAAAATATGTATATGCTCTGGAGTGGCAAAATTGAGCTAGTTAACATATACTTACCATTTTATGCTAACACTTAAAATCTACACCCTTAGCATTTTTCAAGACTGTCATAGATTGCTAATTAGAGTCACCATGTTTTGTCCCCTAGATCTCTTGAGCTTATTCCTCCTGTCTAAAATGTTGTATCCTTTGAACAATATCTCTCAAATCCTTCCCCTAACCACCCCAGCCCCTGGTAACCACCACTGTATTCTCTCTGAATTTAACTTTTTTAGATATTACATATGAGTGAGATTCTGCAGCATTTTTTATTCCGTTTTGTTTACATATCACTTTTTCTTTATCCATTCATCCATGGACACTTTGGCTGACTTCATTTTGTGGATTTTGTGAAGGGTGCTGCAATGAACCTGAGAGTACAGGTGTTTCTTTGACATACTATTTCATTTCTTTTGGGTACATACCCAGCAATATGATTTTGCTAGATTATTTTTTAAAATATATTTTAGGGTCTGGGGATGTGGCTCAAGTGGTAGCGTACTTGCCTAGCATGTGTGAGGCACTGGGTTTGATTCTCAGCACCACTTACAAATAAAATAAAGATATTGTGTCCACCTAAAACTAAATATTAAATATATATATATATATATATATATATATATATATATATATATATTTAATATATATATTAGTTGTAGATGAACACAATATCTTTATTATTCATTTTTTTGACAATCATTTATTTATTGGACAGGACAAGGTCATTAAAAGAGAGAAAACATATTCAAAATGTGTTTAGCTTGGTGTTACAGGCATGGATGCTCACAACAAACAACACTACTCAATACATCATGGAAAGAGGCCACATATAACCAGGAAGATGCTGTCATGCCACTCAAAAATAAGCCATGATGCTTGGGAACAATTATTAAGGAGTTACAGAACATAATAGTCTCTAATTCACCAATCTGCATTTTCTGCCATTGGGCCATTAGCCCATAGTATTGGCTGATTCCCTGGTTATTGAGTCTTCCTGTATTCTAGAGAACTTTGGTGCGCACTTCTCACATTTCTGAATTGTCACTGAAATCATAGTCAACTGAAGGACTAACTAACTCTCATCACTATAGTTTTGAACTACTTTAGGCAATAGTTAAGTATCTCATAGTAATGTAAATAAAATTCCATTTAATACATTTAGCACTGTTATAATGCACTCAAATCACATTTAGTCCTATTGTACATACTTTTTAAAAGACAGCAGAAATTCACTGGAATAAATTTTAAAAGAGATTTGGGGAGCTCACCTGGCCCGAGGTATATGAGGTGCTGACAAAGACAGACACCTGAAAAGTGCTATGTCAATTATTTGCCAAATTATTTGGCATCATTTTTAACAGGACTTTTCTGACTGGGCCAGCAAAGATAGATTTCAATGTCCATTCTACAAACTAGCCAAAATATTATAAGCAATAGTATACAATGAATGATTGGCTATTCAGCATAAGATTAAACTGAGCATAAGATCAACTGAGAAACCTGTGAGGTATCTGGCCCTCCCTCCTTAAATTCATTGATTTACCAGTCACTTTCTTTTCCTACAAGAAGAGTTTTCAAGATGAGAACAACTTTTTCATGCCAGAGAAAACCATTTTGGGGAAGCCAATCACAAAAGACTAGATATTGTATGAATTCATTTATGTTAAATGATTAAAATAGGTATATAGAAAGTGGACTGGTGGTTGCCCAGGGATGGGGAGCTCTGGGAAAAAATAGAAGATGTCTGCCAAAGGGTACAGGGTTACTTTTAGTGTGATTAAATGCCCTAAATTCGTCTGATCATGGGCACACAACTTTGTGAATATAAAAATCATGAAGTTACACCCTTTAAATGGGTGAATTACAAAGTATGTGAATCAAATGCCAACTACATTGTTACAAAAATTTTAAGAAAAGAAGACAGTCCCCAAAGAGAAGAAAACAAGAGGCTCTCCCAAAGCAGGCCATACCTGAGGAAATGGTAGACAAGCATTGTGTAAAGAGTTGTTTCCCACATGCTATTTTGACTTCATCACTTTAATCCCTTACTTCATATTTTTTAACACATTTCTAAATTATTTTAGGTTATCAGCAGATTTCTAACTTTGTCTCATTAGAGACCAAAATCAGGGTTCCACCGACTGAGCTGGTAAAACAAAATAAAATGACAATAAAAATCCCATGACAAAATAATCTCATCCTTTGGGGCTGTGCACAACCTGGCAGAATGTAAGAGCTGAGGTTTATTTCCAATGGAAAAAATGCCATCAGCTATAAGGGCATCTTATGACTCTTGCCTAAAGCATATTTCCTTTTCGAACCTGCATACATTTATTCCCTTTACACCTATACAATTCAACAAAAAGTAATGTTTTTATAACTGTACAATTCAACAAAAGCAATGCTCTCTACCAAAAAATGCTGAGCTTCCTGCTCAAAGATCTAGCCAAATTTCCCTAAAGGTAAAATTTAAAATTTCTGAAAAAATCCAACTCTTTATCCATCTTCACCTTCAGCTCTATACAGTGAAGACTGAAAACTAAACTGGCTATGATTTCTTAAATGACTTTAATTTTCTAAAATATTTAATATATTAGTTTCAAATATTTAGAATATATTTGGCCCAATTTTTTTGAGTCTGCCCTTAGATTAATGAGAAGCTTCTTTTATTTTCACTTATTTAGTAAGAAATAACACAGACTTTGAATAAGTTAAACTGGTTAATGACAGGTGATCAGTTTTCCTCAATGATTATGATTGTTCCATAGAGGGATGATAATGAAATCACAAATGGTGTTTTTGGTCTATCTTCAACTAATACTACAAGTTAGGAAACATTTTTACAGCTAAATGAGGAGAACACAAGCAGCATTACAGCAAATTAAACTTGTTAAGTGCATTTGTTATGACGGAATTTCTGACGCAAAAATTGCTCACTGCACAAAGAACCTCAGAGAAGTGATGAAACAAGACAACTGATGTTAGAAGGTATATAGGAATGGGGTGGGGGGTAGAATCAAGGATAAATTAATATCAGGCAAGTATCTTGGGGAAAAAAGAGCCACTTTTGAGGGCACATAAGAAAAACTGAGAAGTCACTATTTTGGTTTCATTAGGGAAGTCCATTTGATAAGAACTGAAGACCTTTTTACTATATAATTCATGCTGCAAAATTCAGTAGTCACGCAGAATTTCCAAAAGGATTCCTAAAAACTAGTGCAAAAGAAATCTAAGAAAATAAATAAACATAAAAACCAACCTTTTTCAAGGAAATGTGTTCAAAACAGTGACTTTTACAAAAGATGCAAATTTGTTTTAAATGAAAATATATATGAAAGATTAAAGACTCATTTTGCAGATAACTTACACTCCATCTACGATTTTTTAACAGTGTACAAACAAGGGGTATAGATTTGTTTAATTAGGTCTGAAAGATCAATATAAATACTGATGGGGGGGGTGTTTTATACCCCAAACTCCAAGATTCAGCTCTGTGTCCTGTCCTGCTATTATAATTTGTAAAAACCTTAGCGGCGCAGTGATTCGAGTTTTCGTAACTTCAATGATGTGTTAGAGGACAATGCCTCCTGGTTTGAAGAATTTGTTGTATCCGAAGGCCGACCACGATGATTAAATACATAAAATGATGGGTGATTCCTTAAGGTATCAATTGTCTTATTTTTTAGTTCTGAAGTGGCATCCATGTCTTTAAACTCCCCTGCAATATGAACTATACTATAACAGGTAACTGCAAAGGCCAGAAGTGTCTGAAGAACTACATCTATTGGCAGTGATTCATCTTCTTTTTCTGTTAATCGCATATAAGAACCATCTCAGTGTAGATCTCGGTGGAACCACTGGTTATCGGTGATGAGTTCTGCTTCCTCACACTTTGACGTTTGAACATAAGCGAAGCATGTCAAGGCAAGCATATAAAGCAGGGCTTATTTGAAAAGGGGTAACATAGATTTCTCCCTAGAGGAAGAAGGGGGCCATATCTGGTATCCTGGTATCCCCTTATCATTCATTTTTATGTGGTGCCGAGGATCAATCCCAAAGCCTCACACCTGCGGAGGCAAGCACTCTGCCACTGAGTTACAGCCCCAGCACTTCTAGATCAATTTTTTATTTTTTATTTTTTTGGTGCAGGAGTTTTCATTTTTTAATCTGTTGCTTTTTGTTATGTTGTGTTGTGTTTCAAGATGGGGTTTTGCTAACTTGCCCAGGCTGGCCTCAAATTCAAGATCCTCCCTCCTCATCATCCCAAGTAACTGTGACTTTAGATGCATACCACCACACCCGACTATCTGTCGCTTTAAAAATATTTTTTATTGTATTACTCAGCATTAAAAGAGAATAAATTATGGCATTTGCAGGTAAATTGATGGAGTTGGAGAATATATCATGCTAAGCGAAGTAAGCCTATCCCGAAAAATCAAAGGCCAAATGTTCTCTCTGATAAATGGATAGTGATCCATAAGGGAGGCAGTGGGAAGAATGGAGGAACTTTGATTGGGCAAAGGGGAGGGAGGGAAGAGGGGTCTGGGGGGCAGGAAAGATGGTGGAATGAGATGGACATCATTACCCTAAGTACATGTATGATTGCACATACGATGTGACTCTACATTGTGTACAACCAGAGAAAGGAAAAGTTGTGCTGCGTTTGTGTACAATGAATCAAAATGCATTCTGCTGTCATATTTACCTAATTAGAATAAATAAATGGATTTTTAAAATATTTTTTATTAAGATATAATTCATATACCATAAATCTTACCCATTTGTCCTTGTGTGGTGGCCCATGCCTATAATACTAGCTACTCTTAAGGCTGAGGCAGGAAGATCACAAATTGGAGGCCAACCTGGGCAGCTTAGTGTGAACCTATCTTAAAATTTAAAATTTAGAAAAAAAGTGGGGGCATCTGGGGATGTAGCTCAGTGGTAGAGCACTTCCCTGGTGTGCGTAAAGCCCCAGGTTCAAACTCCAGTACAAAAACAAACAAAACGCTCACACGTTTACTATGAACAATTGAATAGATTTTGGTATATTCACAGAATTCCGCAACCAGCACCACAATCTAATTTTAGAATTTTTTTTTTTTAATATTTATTTTTCATTTTTCGGCGGACACAACATCTTTGTTTGTATGTGGTGCTGAGGATCTAACCCGGGCCTCACGCATGCCAGGCAAGCGCGCTACCGCTTGAGCCACATCCCCAGCCCAATTTTAGAAATTTTTATCACCCCCTCCTAAAGCCCATATTCTTCATAGGTCAACCAGAATCTTTTGCCTGGGTTTCTGTAACAGCCCCCAATAGGTCATTAGCTGATCTAAAAATACCCATCCTAGGTCAAACATCTTTAATAGCATTTTATTCCACTGTTGTCCTGATTAAGTACAAAATCTTTAAGGTGACTCCAGTGCCTTTTGGAATCTGACCCCTTTTAAAATTCAAGGATAAACAGTATTTTAGAATCAGGACTCTTTTTTTTGCCAGGGAGGGGGCAGGTATCAGGGATTGAACTCAGGGGCACTTGACCATTGAACAACATCCCTAGCCCTATTTTGTATTTTATTTAGAGACAGGGTCTCACTGAGTTGTTTAGCACCTCACTTACTGCTGAGGCTGACTTTGAACTGGCGATCCTCCTGGCTCAGCCTCCCAAGCCACTGGGATTACAGGTATGCACCATCTGGTCTGGATAGAATCAGGACTCCTGATCTGGGAACAATAATGGACTTCAGGAAATCAATAAACCCCATGAAAGTGCATGCAAAAGTTGATAATTGCATAGGGGCTGGGGTTGTGGCTCAGTGGTAGAGCACTTGCCTAGTTTGTGTGAGGCACTGGGTTCAATTCTCAGCACCATATATAACTAAATGGATAAAAAAAGGGTCCATCAATATCTAAAAATATATATTTTTTAAAAAAAGGTTGATATGTGCATAGACTTGCCCCCTGGAAAGATGATAAATTAGATTATCTAAGGTTCAGAATATCTAGAACAAATTAAGTTTATATAGTTTTCCTTATTATTATACACTTTTGCATTATTTTAATTTTTACCATACACATAGAATAGAAAACACAATAATACTTTGCAGGTATCAGGTTTCTGAAGGTCATTCTGCCCCAGGGATGGAGTGGAGATCCAGTGGGGAGAGGAAGCACAGGTCAAGAAATTCTTATTTGCAAGAAGAATGTCTACATTGATCCCAGTTAGTTAAACTAAGGATATGTTGAGGTGGTAATAGATGAGAAAAGAACTAGGAAGAGCCAAGGAAAGGGGAGAGAGAAGCCTGTGAAGGGAGGTTCAGAATGTCAATCTTGTCAATTCCACAGTGAGATTAGAAATGAGAAGGGGGGGGGTCTCTGGTCCTTTTTTCCTGGGCCACTTGCTGGAGGTAGAGAGGCACTTTTTCTTGTTTATATTTGAAGCCTCAGTGCTTGGTCCACAATAGACATATAACTGGGAACAAGAACTAAATTAATTAGTGAATAAAGAATAAATATTTCTAGCTCTTTGTGGTGGCTGCATGAGGGCAGAGCCAGAGCCAGAGCTGCGTCGGCGAGAATCATGGCCGGACAAGCATTTAGAAAGTTTCTTCCACTTTTTGACCAAGTATTGGTCGAAAGGAGTGCAGGGGAAACTGTAACCAAAGGAGGCATTATGCTTCCAGAAAAAATTCAAGGAAAAGTATTGCAAGGCACAGGATAGTATAGTAGCTGCAGGATCGGGCTCTAAAGGAAAGGGTGGAGAGATTCAGCCAGTCAGTGTGAAAGTTGGAGGCATCAAAGTAGTTCTAGATGACAAGGATTATTTCTTATTCAGAGATAGTGACATTCTTGGAAAATATGTATACTGAAACAAATCATTGTTGAAATGGCATCCTATGAAGCTGCCCAGTCCACTGAAGATCTGAAATCTTTCATCATGTAAATAATTTCCATGTGTCTTTTATAATAAACTGATGATAACCTAATAACATCCACTGTCTCAAAAATTTAGTTTCTCTGTACTGTGTAAATATTTCCAAATAAAATATGTAATGAATGGTTAAAAAATCAATAAACCCCATGAAAGTGCATGAAAAAAAGTGCATCTAATACGGTCTCACAGCTTTTTTGTTTGTTTGTTTCTATGCCTGTTTTATTCATTTCTCTTACAACTTGTGCTCAGCATTTGTTGAATTCTCCTTAGTTGCATAGTTAAACAGAGGTTAGGGTTAGCACTTAGAAACACAAGTCCTTACTCCTAATTCAGTTTTCTTGTCCCTAACACCACATTGCCTCTTTTTATTTTATTTTTGTTTTTAGTTGTAGATGGATACACTACCTTTATTTTATTTATTCATTTTTATGTGGTGCTGAGGGTTGAACCCAGTGCCTCATATGTGCAAGGCAAGTGCTCCACCACTGAGCTACAGCCTCAGCCCCACCACATTGCCTCTTTAATGTTATGCAAACAAAAAATCTTATAACATGCCCCTCCTTTGCATGCTTCATCTCTGGACTCACAAACTACATTTCTTTTATAATATTTGGTTCCATTTCATTTTAGCCACACTTCTTATGGGCAAGTTCCATATTATTGTCCAGTGATGAGTTTCAAATATTCAAGCCCATCATCCTTGTATTTTAGCTGACAATAGCTCTTTTATTTAAAATAGCACAAAGAATATTTATGTTCCAATCCACCACAGTACTTAATCTGTTAATAGATGCCATCTGAAGAAGTCGGTGTATTTACTAACATATTACTTTGCCTTTATCTTCTAATTGAATAAAACAAGTTTTATTAAAACTGAAATTCTCAGAGAAAATAATTAATTTTGCCCAAATTTCAAACAATATTAACACTTATTAAAATTTATTTTAAATTTGATTTATGGCTCTTGCCAGACTGATAATTTTTCAAAACAGTGACACATCTTAATGTATCTTGGAAAGTATGTATACTGAAACAAATCATTGTTGAAATGGCATGAATTTCAAGGGAAGTTGAGCATTTGTTACTATTGTACATAGAAGTCACAATATACATAGAAGTCACAGAAAACTGAATGGGAAAATGGCTCAGTTTGAAATAAGTGCCTCACTCGATGATTATTACAGCATTCACAGTAGGAATATTAGTTATTAGTGGATAATTAGAGTTTTCAGATGCAAGGAAAATAACACCACCTCCAGCTTTCTTGTTTCTTTCCTTCCTTCTTGCTTGCTTGCTTTCTTCACTTTCCTTTCTTTCTTTTGCAGTACTGGGGATTGAACTCAGAGGCACTTTACAACTAAGATAAACCTCCAGCACCCCCTTTAAAAAATTTTTTGAGAAAAGGTCATGCTGTGTTTCCCAGTCTGACCTTGAACTTGAAATTCTCCTGCTTCAGCCTCCAGAGTAGCTGGGACTCTAGGCATGTACTGACAGAACTCTGGCTCTTTCAAAAGCAGAAACATTGTTTTTGGATAGCAAACTGGGAGCTTGTGGATTTATTGGGAGTTTGGTCAATCTGAATTAAAAGTCCCATCGCCATTAGAATTACCTATCATCATGAACTTGTTCTATGAGGACACCACTACCATCTCCCCCCTGCACAGCTGTCCCCTTCACCCTGGGGTAAGGGTGTCTCTGTTGTTTTATAAATGGGAGGCTCCCTCCATTGCCCCATGAGTCTTTGATTGAGCTGTGACCACATGCATGCATCTCAGATGCAAAACCCACTGGAAAAAGAAGAGTCTCATTTTCAGCCACACTTTCAGAGGGAGCTAAGTTCTGTTCGCCACTTAGAGTTATGTGATGGAGGATCCCCCAAATGTAGGA